CCCAGCCACCATCAAGGTTCTTATTTGCAGTCTTTGCTTATCCTCCCCTAGCTTTAATCATCCTCCCCTATGTTGTAGGCGCTCAGGGGTGTTCCTGTTTAGCCATTTAGTTAAAGCAAAGATAACTGCTCCTCCTTGACAAGAGGGAAGACTGCAGGGACTCTTCACCTGAATTAGAGGCACATTTTTGGGGGGGTTTTGTTTTGTTTTGTTTTTTGTTTTTTTGAGACGGACTCTCACTTTGTCACCCAGGCTGGTGTGCAGTGGTGGGATCTCAGCTCACTGCAACTTCCGCCTCCAGGGTTCAAGCGATTCTTCTGCTAGGGGCACTTTTTAAAGATGGGTAAATGTTTCTCCCACTACCACCATTGCATTTTTCTTTATTCCTGCTCTTTGATATGCTGTATTATTGCAATTGTATAGTGGTCCCCCCTTATCCATGGGGGATACATTCCAAAATCCCCAGTGGATGCCTGAAACACAGATATTACCAAACCGATAATTTACTACGCACAGTTTTTTTTCCTTCTTCACAGTTTCACAGATAGAAAATTTCTTTCTTACTGTAGATCTTAGCAACCTCAGCATAGGATTTTTTTCTTTCCTTATTAAGTAGAGAACTTTCCCCTTTTCGCTTAGAGGAAGGCCTTTAGTGCTCCTCGTTGGCATATCCAAAATGCCAGCATCTCTACTCTTGCACTTTGGGGCTGATGTTAAGTAAAATAAGGGCTCCTTGACGGTCAGTCTGATAACCCAGATGGCTACTAAGTGACATGGGCATGGAGCACAGACAGTGTGGCTTTCCTGGACAAAGGGATGATTGGTGTCCCAGGCAGGACAGAGAGGGAAGGCATGAGATTTCATAGAGCTACTCAGAAGGGTGCACAATTTAAAACTTATGAATTGTTTATTTCTGAAATTTCAGCTTAATATTTTCAGACGTCAGTCAACCGCAGGTAACTGAAACCATGGAAAGCAAAACCAAGTGCTTCCCCATATATTCTCATTTTACAGATAAGAAAATTAAGGCCCAGCAAGGTGACAGAACTGCTAGCCAAGAGTAGAATTGGGATTAGGAGATCAGGTCCGTGATCTGTGTATGCTCTGTCCTTATAGTATGGTGAATGCCATATAAAAGGAACATCACACGAATGAAAAGAGAAGCCATGGGTTTGGGGACCTACTCTTGATTCCAGGCCATAAGCCAGTGCACATGTATGTGCAAAACTTAGTGTTTGAGTGGGCAGCCTGAACCCAGGTATTGGGCCAGCCTGTAGCACATGGCAAGGTCTCTCCCACATGTTGCCTTCCCTGCCATTTCCTCTCCCTTTTTGCACTGGTTATTAAACCTGTGTCCACACATGTGGAAAAGATGGCTTGTGCTGTGAACAGTCTTTCCAGTTCCGGAGCTCCTCTCCCTGGTTGTAAAATGTCGCTGATGAGACAGACACTCATTGTTTAGTGTTTAGGAAGCAAGTTAACATAGGGCTAAAAGTGCAGACTGCAGAGTCACACATTGCATTGCTTAAAAGCTGTGTCACTTTGTGCAGGTCATTTAACACTTCCACACAACTCCATATAATCATAGTACCAACCGTACTGGTGGCTGTGATGATTCAATACTGTCATACAAATAAAGCACTTAGAACAGTGCCTGGCAGACAGTAGTCTCTGAGTTTGGGGTTTGTTTTTGTTTTTGTTTTGTTTTGTTTTGTTTGAGACAAGGTCTCACTTCCATTGCCCAGGCTGGAGTGCAGTGATGCGATCTTGGCTCACTGCAACCTTGAATTCCCAGGCTCAGGTGATCCTCATGCCTCAGCCTCTTGAGTAGCTAGAACTACAGGAGTACGCACCGCCATGCCTGCCTAAGTTTTGTATCTTTTGCAGAAACTCCTGGCCTCAGCATCCCAAAGTGCTGGGATTACAGGCATGAGCCATCTCACCCAGCCTCTGAGTTAATTGTTATAATTATCATTATAATTATAAATTAAAATTATTATAAATTATAATTACTATCTGATTATAGTTTTAAAAAGTACTCTTAGGCTAGAAGTTCCTTTGAGCACAATTTTGGAACTCTGATTTGCAAATTTTGTAACAGAAATTAGAACTAATTCCTTTATAAAAATCTGAGAAGAAATAATTACTTTAATTCACCATTTCATAGATGCTGAATTGTTTATTTTGAAGATGTATTAAGATATAGGGAGATCATACCAGCATTTACTACAAGGCGTTCTGTGGCTCATGAGGTGCACCAAATATTTTGTTAAATGAATGTTTTATTTTATCCAAAATCTCTTTTCAATGAAGCATCTCACAGAACTAGTTTGATGGCAAACACTTTGGGAAATACTGAACCGCAGTCTTCCCATTCGTACTCCTGTTTATTCTGAAAACATCTGATGTTGCATTTTCAAGTAGACAGAAGGAAGTAGCAGGGGCTTTTCTACAGCCAGTGGTGGCCGTCGACAGTTCAGGCAACTTTACTTAGCTTGTCCTTCCCCACTTCTTCCTCATTTGGAAACTGCTCCTTATCCTTCAAAACCCAGCTCAAATATCCCTGCTGCAGAGACATTTTCTCCAACTTCCCCGTTAGTTGGTTCTTTCTGTAAGCTTCTACAACAATTTGTATACATTAATGGTGTCATCTCTTAGGTGGGAGATGATGGAAACCATCACATTGACTGAAAATTATGTATGGTCACAATTTTTTAAGGTCACAGCTTAAGAAGCTGTCCCTTTGGAGATCAGTATATTTTGTTTCTCTAAGTTGACACAGTCTGCTTCTCTCTCTGTCTTTGAGACAGATCATATTCTATCAGTTAAGTGTGAGTTGAGGCTGCTGGCATGTATCTAGAGACCATGTTTAAGGAAAAATACTGATTTTTAATTACTGTGAAATCAACTGTGTGGAGGGTAGATTCTCCACTGCCTTCTCTAGCTCACTCTGGGGCATAGACTGATTGAGTGGAATAGTAAGTAGAAGATTCTAGAATACGTACAGAGAAGGTCCTCCTTATCCACAGCACAGGTTCTGCGTCTGGATTCAATTCTTGATTGAAAAAATAAAGACAATAAAAAATAACAATACAACAATAAAAAACAATACAAATGTCAAAATACAATATAACAAATATTTACATAACATTTGCATCATATTAGGTATTTAAGTGATCTCGAGATTATTTTTAAAGTATATGAGAGAGGCCAGACGTTGTGGCTCATGCTCGTAATCCCACTACTTTGGGATGCTGAGACAGGAGGATTGCTTCAGGCCAGGAGTTCAAGACCAGCCCTGGGCAACATAGTGAGACCTTGTCTCTATGAAAAAAAAATTTTTTTTATAGTATACAGAAGGATATGCGTAGGTTAAATGCAAATATGCCATTTTCTCTCAGGGACTTGAGCATCTGAGGATTTTGGTATCCATGGAAGTCCTAGAGCCAATCCCCTGTGAGGATACTGAGGGGCAACAGTATTTCATCTTTCCCTCAGCCTTCCAGGCCTCTCACTTTCACAAGGTTGCATCACTGAGTTTGAGGATGCAGCTCCACCTTACCTCTTCAGTGGCTCTTATCCCACTTCCTTACAATAATTGCTATTTGCCCGCCCCTCTGCCTTCCTCGCCCCTCTGCCTTCCTCTCCCTTGCTTTTATGTCTTTGTATTCCCAACTTCTGGGAGAGGCTTGTTGAATGAATTGATGATAGGCACATACACCTGTTCAGGAAGGCTCCTTTTTGTCTCTTCTCCTCAGGGCCGCCCAATAACTCCAGTATACACGGTGGCTCCAAATGTTCAGAGAATTCCCACTGCCGGAATCTACGGGGCCAGTTACGTGCCATTTGCTGCCCCGGCCACAGCCACAATCGCCACACTACAGAAGAACGCGGCAGCCGCGGCCGCCGTGTATGGAGGATACGCAGGCTACATACCTCAGGCCTTCCCTGCTGCTGCCATTCAGGTCCCCATCCCCGACGTCTACCAGACATACTGAGGCTGGTGACCAGCGCGAAGACAAACCACACGAACACCACTGAAGGAACGCTTGACTATTTATGAAGAAGGAACCTGTTGAATTCGCACATGCAATCTGAAAGTGAAGAATGTTCGCAGATTTATTTCTGACATATTTTATATACATGAAGTTTTCACTAGTTTTTTTAAGACTATTTTCAACTTAGCAGGCCTGCGTTTATACATTTCCAAAAGACTTGTAATGGTTCGTGCCTTCATACCATCTTTTAAAAATTTGTATGCTGTACTACATTTGTATAGAGGATTTTGTTGTTTTTTTTTTTAAGGATATATTTTCAGTATGAAGGTTATTTTCTTAACTTCTGCACTCCAGAGATTTCTATTTTGTAGTACCTTCAATAATATATCAACTATATATTAAAAAAGCACACTTGAGCAGCTAGGGAACTATTTTGAAAAATATATACAATATTTAAAGATACAAACAGTAGTGCTTAAAAATACTACATAAAACATTATTTTAAAGGTTATACTGGAAAGTGCAATTTTAAAATGAGTAAAATCTTTGTATTTCTGCTGGCATTAAGGGTTGATGGTGTTACCATGTATCATCATGGCGGTACTATTTTTTAAAAGAAACACTGAATCTCTCCTTAAGCCAACATTGAAAAGACTTGCCACACTTCTGAGTCCAAACACTGGAACGCTCTCCTTTGCCACCATTTGCGGGGCTCATTCTCCATGTGCCTTAACCTTACACATGCCCCCACTATCCCATCTCTCACCCTGTCCCCTCCTCCCCAAATTCCCAGGCCCTCCACAATGTTTGGCCAGCCTAGGACTGATGAATAGCTCTGAAAGAGAGAGGAGCTGGTGGCTTTTATACTTCTTCCTGGGTTTTTGTTGGGGTTTGTTGTTTCGTTGTCTGTTTTTTGTTTTGTTTTGTTTTGGTTGGGGAAGTATTATCTTCTCTGTGTGCTATTTTCAGCAGCAGAGTAAGTACAAGGTTTTAATCGAGCTGCATTAGACACCTTTGCCTAGCTATTTAATTGCCCAATATAAAACTTTAATGCCATTTCTAATGCTTTCATTCATTTTTGAAGTATGAGTTTGTAGGGACAAAGAACGTATGTTATCATAGACAAGACCCCCAGAGACTCTTGTCAGCAGAAAGTTATGCTTCTAGTTGCCTTACCATGTTTCATGCAAAACTGTCCGTGGTCCTCAAGGGTGTTGGAAACATTTTGTTTATTAAATCTCTCTTCCCTTGCTGTGCACTTGATGGGTGAACTGAATTGGGGTGTGCACATCCAGGAGGAGGAGGAGAGACCTGTAGAAGTTTAAAGATAGTTTGTAAATATCTTCTAATGCTTGTTTTTAGTCCTTTTATGTTGCAGAAGTTCATGGTATGTAGTTTAATGCAAAATGAAACCATTTTATTTCAATGTTATTAAAAAGGTTTGTTTTATTAGGAAGTTAATGTATTGTTGCAGTGTTTTGTGCCTGTTTAAAGGCTTTTGTTTAGCAGAGTGAATGTAAAATACAGTAAAATGTTAAGATTGTCATCTACTTTAAAAATATGTATATCAACTTGGAATTGTTTTTTAAAGGCTCAATCAAGGAAGTGAGGTGTGCAATAAGGTAGCAAGTACACAGTTGCGTTTTTATGTCATATTAGAGATCCATACAATCTTTCCACCATGGGATTTTTGTTGATGGCTGAATTCTTGTGGATTCATAAGAGGATCATGCCCTTAGCAAGTACTTTTGTTTTGTTTTAAATTAAGAGATTCCCAAATGCCTTTTCCCCCCTCATCTTGAGACGAGATGAGTTTTTATGTGTAAGCAATATTTATTTAACTATTCTATAAAATTATTGAGTGCCTCCTGAGGCCTTTAAGCACCCCTAACATTCCTTTCCATCATTCTTTTAAATGACATAAAGTAATTGTGCAATGTTCCTGATGATGTACCCCGCAAGCTGCATTGAAACTCAAATCTCTTGGAATGAGTGACTCAACAAAATGTAATTTGAATCAGATCCTCATCCCTTGACTATATGAAAAAAGTACTCTCCTTCTAGTGAAGGATTGTCACAGAGTTTCACTGGATGAAACCGTGACCCAGTGTTCTTACTGTATTTTACGTATGCCTGTAAATTATTTGTGAAGAAGAAGAAGAGGAGGAGGAGGAGGAAGAGGAAGAGGAGGAAGGGGAAGAGAAAGGAAGGGAGGAAGGAAGGAAGGAAGGAAGGAAGGAAGGAAGGAAGGAAGGAAGGAAAGAAAAGAAAAAAAACAATGATACCTTAACATGGCAACCACCAAACTCCCTTAAAAACAAATGTTGGTGACATAGCTAGTTAAGTATCAGTGAGCCTCCAATCTGGGACTTACCTGTTCCTATTGTTTCAAAACCATTTCACGTACACTACTGAGATAAGTTTATAACTTGAAATGTGAACTTTTTTTTTTTTTTTTAGTGTTAAGAACAAACTATATAAATGTAAAAAAAAAGTTTTAGAGTTCTGTTTTCAAACATTGCTAGTGGTTTAGTTAACTTTAGCTGCTTTATATTTGAAAAGCTTTTATTTAGATCTTGCTCCATTTACAGTACATTCTTAGGATGTATGTAGTAAATAAAGCTTTCTTTAAAGCAATTGCAAGACCTTATTTTAAATTGTGTTTTCTTTATACTGATTTATTTTTTCTAAAATAATTAGGAAAACCCTTATAGCATAGAAAGGATTGGCTAATTCAATATTTTCCATTGGAGAAATCAGCAAGTTACTGTCATGTGTTTGTCTTAGGACTACCATTGGAGATGGATTACATTGGCCAGGTGTGGTGGCTCACTCCTGTAATCCCAGCACTTTGGGAGGCCAAGGTGGACAGATCACCTGAGGTCAGGAGTTCGAGACCTGTTTGTCCAACAGGTGAAATCCCGTCTCTACTAAAAATACAAAAAAAAAAATTAGCCAGGCGTAGTGGTGGGTGCCTGTAGTCCCAGCTATGCAGGAGGCTGAGGTAAGAGAATCGCTTGAACCCAGGAGGTGGAGGTTGCAGTGAGTTGAGATCGTGCCTTTGCACTCCAGCCGGGACAACAAGAGCAAAACTCCGTCTAAAAAAAAAAAAAAGAAAAAATGTGTTACATAGCTGAATCGTGAATTATGAGTATCCTCAAATTTTGGCTAAGGAGGTAGGAGATTGAACACTCCAATAATATTCAAATCTGCGTTGGAATAGGATGTGACAAAGCCTGTCACCACGCTCAGTGCCAAAGTTTATTTATAATCCCAACGGCTTTACACACAGAATTTTAAATGGAGAGAGTTGATGGACATTGAGTTTTTTGATGGTCTCATGAAAGTGCTGAGATGACCTTGATGTTGGTCATTGCATTTGAAACTAAAACCTTCTTGTTTCTCCTTTTCACAGTGCATAGTGAGGTTAACAGGACACTTTGCTTTTCTCTAGAGATCATCACTAACTTCAGACAGTATCTATCATCAAAGTCAATAAGATGACAGGAGGGAAGGTGGTGGATTGTCAATAGAATAAAGTTCCACTTGGATTTGCCAGTGATTAAGAATTTTACCTTCTTAGCTTTGAACCTGGACTATGACCTCCCAACCTGCATTTCTTGAAATTCTAACCTTCTGCTTCCTCTTAAATGGATAAAGGCCTTTTTAGAGGCAGAACAGACCAGCATGTTGGGCAGAACATCCCAAGATGATAGCTTATTAGGCAGTATTTTTAGGGGCAACAAGATCTACTGATCTTCTTGTCCTAGGAAATAAGTACAAAAGCTCTTCAAGTTACAGGATCACATTCAGGCTAGACTGATCTCTTTAGAAAAAGAATTAACAATCAAAATGAGGCCAATAGCATGTCAAATGAGGATAATGACTATGATCATGTGATTCACTGGGTTCTTAGGCTTCCATAACCTCAGGTGGAGCTCACAAGAACTCAGTGAAATAGGCAGGACGGATATAGATATGTGATCACACAGCTGGTAACAGGACTCAAATCTACACTCAAGGCCAAGCGCAGTGGCTGCCGCCTGTAATCCCAGCATTTTAGGAGGCCAAGGCAGGTGGATCACTTGAGGTCAGGAGTTCGACATGGTGAAACCCCATCTCTACTAAAAATATAAAAATTAGCCGGGCATGGTGGTGGCACCTGTAGTCCCAGCTACTCAGGAGGCTGAGGCAGGAGAATCAGTTGAACCCAGGAGGGCAGGAGTTGCAATGAGCCGAGATCATGCCACTGCACTCCAGCCTGGTTAACAGAGTGAGACCTTGTCATTAAAAAAAAAAAAAGTCTACGCGCTCAAGACTCTGTCCCAGGTTCTAAATGCCCCATTTTTTCAATTCCAAAAATGTCTGTCATGACAACATACAAAGCACTTCA